TGGCTGCTGTCCAGATCTAAATGGCGAGCTGGATGGGGATAGCTATTAGAGGGTGAGAGTACAACAAACACACCCAACCAACTCAACCACACATGTTAAGACTCACACTAACACACCCACGAGCATTAGTGCCACAAAGATGGGCACAAGCACTAACTCAAAAAAAAATTAATAATAATAACATCTTACACACACCTTGGCTGCATAAAATCAAAGGGGACAAAACCTGTAGATGCATAAACCAAGATGCAATTAGAATGACAAAAAGATTCAGCTCTCCCATGTTTTCTGTCTGTCACCAGCTCGGAGGCGTGCTGACGGTGTGGCAGTATCTTGAGGCCGGAGCGTTGCAATTGTGAAAGCAGATCCCTTATAGTGGCAAGAGAGGTCCCACAGTGCCATCTGCTGGATAAACCCCTTTTCTAAAGGCTTCTTAACATACTTACAACATTCATAATGGAAAATTACATAATTCATTCAGTCATGAGTTGTGCAGGTAGACTAATCTTTGATGTGCATTGTAAAAAGGTCGAATGAGTTAATTTGTGTTATAAACCTCTAAACAAGTCATTTTAATGTTCAAGACAGTTCACCACTACACTTTATGTAATGTTTTTGTACACTTTTAAAATAATATGCTGTAGGCCATGTGCGCATACACACTGCTACACAGCTGTGAAATGTGGAGTGAGACTCAAGTTGAATGAATATTTATCATATGGCAGGGTTTGAGTAGTGAAACAGGTTTTATTAATAACACCATTAACTGCATTGCCTTAAACTCTAATAGAGCCATAGGTAATGTCACCAGTAGGCTTTGCTTTGCTGTCTGCTGTGAAAAAGGTCTGTGAATCTAATTCATTTGGGTCTGTACTGTAAGAAAGTATTTGAAATCAGCTGAAAAGTATTTCTTGGGCTGATTCCACTATTGTTAGACTTACTCACTACTGTATATTCCTGTCCCCATGGAGAAGGCTCTGAAATAGCATTTAGGCCCCCATATAAAATACACTGCACTAATTATTACACTGCTGTTTCCAACTTAGGAGTTGGGAAGCCCTAAGGGCTACCAGGATTAATTTGAGTGGGTTACAAGATGATTAAATGTGCAAGAAAGACAAACTGCACAGATGCACAAATATTTCATGCAAGTGGAATTTCAATTTCTTTTTATCCTTTCATCTTCTGAAATAAATATCACCTTATAAGTTGCAAGGGGTCACAAAACCAAAATGGTTAGGAGCCACCTAATAAACATAATAAATGCAGCACAAATAAAGCTAATATTTCATTTATTTCTCTTTTTTGGTCAAAATGTTTTAGAAGAGATTGGCAGTGTCAGGGCTGGTGATGTATAAGACGGACACACTTTTGACGAGCAAACAAAGACAAGTGATGCCCATCAAGCAAGCATGTCAGTCAAGTAATTCAAGATGACTGTCTTGTTTCTGAGTTTACTGTGAATGTAGCAAGACAACCATGCGTATGTTGTGGTGCCATATACTTTTTTGACTGAAAAAAAAGTCAATCAATGACATATCTAATCCACCTTCACCATTTTCAAGCTGATGCTTAAATATAGCTGTCCATCTTTGTTTTTTATTTTCCTTCCTGCTGTGGTTTAGATGGCAGCTAGTCTGTTATCAGAAAGGGACTTTTTTGCCCATTTTGACCTGTCAGGACGCACTTCCTTTCAAGGTCCTTATTGTCTTCCTTCTAAAACACTGGCAGGCTGCCGTACAAGCAGGCCTCTGCAACACGTGGACTACCTAACAAAAAAATCTGCGTGAAGTTCTTTACATGAAAGTTATTAGACATATAAAGCATTCCATCATGGCAGTCGCAGGGTCTTGGTGTAATATACACAACACCTGAGTTCTGTTTATATTGCAGGCTTGCCAATATCCTGTTTCCCTGACACTGGTGCTGCGTGTGTGCACTGAGGGTCACTGTGGTGTGTTTGACTTCAGATGAGATCCGCCTTCGTGTCAGCAGACTCAATAACCCTGCATAACACAAGCCTTCACCTTCTTAATTTCCTGTCATAATAACAATCATCAAACACCTTTTGGAGCCTGAGGTGTCTTAAGCAAAATAAATAAGTAAAGCTATATGAAATGTGACTTAATAGTTGTGTCACAGTGATGATAATAAGAAAACAAAGAACAAAATAGTGATTAGAGAGGAATCAGACAGTGATAAGATGAGATGAAGCAGAGAACAGCATTACAAATTCTAATGTGTGCAGGGACATGGGGCTGTGACATGAGCTGAGAATGCTGCTGGGATTTGAATGTGTGTGTACCTGCCTGTTTGTGACTGAGAATATTTTTATATATGTGGGTGTGTGTACATGTGTGTCTCACACAAACAGATGGACACAGAAATAGCCAGAAAATGAGAGTGTGATATGGAGGTCTGCAACGAGAAGAGAGAAAATAGAAGAGAGCAGGTTTCAGAATAAGAAGGTGCAAGAGGCAAATGAGACTCACAACTATTTAATTGTGGATTTGTAAGACAATAATAAGCTGGAGTTCATATTTCATCATCATAACAGTGCCAATGTTATATTTGTGTAAAAATAATTATGTGAGTGGTAATAAATGAGCACTACCACATCCTTCACCCCGTGTGTGTTTTTTTCCAATTACACACACCATTACCCTATGCCAAAGACATTTCTTGTTGCTAAAGATCATCCATCTTGTATTGCCACTCTAATTTTAAAAATGTCTTTCCACTGGTCTTTCTTTATGAAATGCATGAAACATCTTAGATTTTTATTACATATCCTTAAAGGTTAATTCAGCTAAAGTGGGCCTGTTTGCTTTCTTTTTGAGAGTTAGTTGATGCCTTTCTCATATGAAGTTGCAGCCTGCCGCTAGCTAGTTTAGCTTTAGCATTAAGACTGGAAAAGAGGGAAACATCTACAAAAGAGATATAAATAAATGTAAATTAGAGTGCTTTAGGGGTGCTGGATGGCAGATTTTCCTGTTTTGACTTTGTCTAGTAAGCTGGCTGCTGGCTGTCACTTCATTACAGATATGGGAGTGGTATTGGTCTTGTTGTGTAACTTTAAGCATATTTCCCAAAATGTTAAGCTATTCAATTAAAGCACTTGAAGCCTGACATCTCATCTTAACCATCAACACTGCCTTAGCTCACTGCTGCACTGCTGCAGTTAAATATTAGACTAGTCTGTCTTACAGGAGGCCAAGCTAGCTTACAACCTTGCCTGGAATAGTCTCTTTCAATCACACAAAGCCAGCACTTATTTTTTGAGGCTTGGCCTTTTTAATGATGAAGACGAATGAGCTCATTATTAAGTGTTTGTATAAGCATGTGAGAATAACTAAGCCTGTGTGTGTGTGTGTGTGTGTGTGTGTGTGTGTGTTTTCATGTGTGCATCCATCTGCCCGTCTTCTGTTCTCATAAGGTGGGTGGTCTTATTTTGAAGGTGCGATGTTTGTGTTTGTTTATTGCTTGTGTGCACATGCAAACCCTTACCTCGTTAAAGCTCATCTCATGAGGTTAATGGCTTCGCTTATCCGTAGTTCTTAAATTCTCCCTCTTTTAAATGCACCTCTGTGTGTATGTTGCTCAGGAGTATTTAAACCAAAGATAAACCCACCAGCAGGGTGAGGAAGGGGAGAGGAGGGGCTCACTTCTCACTTTCTATTTAATTGTATTATGAGTCCATATGGCTGTGTTGTACAATATCAGGCTTTTGATTTCTCATCTTGTGCAGTTATTTTCAGACGCTGTTCATTTGCTAGGCATATTTACTATAGGCGTGATGTTTTCATGGGTGAGAGAGTGATGAGAAAGAGAATGTCTCTGAAACTAAATTAATGGCTAAATGTATGTTAACCTAAAGAGATCTTTTGCGAATACATTCACGAATAATAGAATGTTTATTAACAGTGTCCTGCATGTGATAAAATGAGGATCGGGGAGGATTTGCCCAGAGATTTTGTCTGTGGATATAGATGGTGCTGCAGTTCTGGTGCTGGACATTAGGGGGTGCTAAGAGACAGAGGGGCAAATGAAAGCACTTAGTGAGGAAAATGTAAAAAATGAAATAGAAAAGGCTGTTAATTTGAATAAAATAAATACAAGTGTCCAGCAGTAATGATACTTTTCAGACTTAGCCCTGTTATGAACCCCTCCACTTTATTTGTCATCCACTGGTCACAATGTTACCATACAAAACCAAATTCCAACATGGAACTGCATTGGAATGTGACTGTTTTTAATACGCACGCGCGCACACACACACCCACACCCACATTCAATAACAAATTTAAATACAATTGTTTTATAAAACAAACAGGGCAAATGGAAAGAGACACATTAAGTGATATTAAGACATGCAGTGACAAATATAAAAAATAGACATGTTTTCTTTTTCTGTACAAACATACATGACCACATATAAATATATAGAAGTAAAAAAGAGTGTATTTTTAAAATACAAAGGTCAAATTGTACAGTTACATTCCATAATAACAAAACAGGAGACATAGCACAATATTCAAGTGAGTTTGTCTCTTTCCACAGACACTGTACAGTAGTGTACACAGTAAAATCAGATCACACAACTGTTGCTTTCTTCCTGTAGAGTCTGTTCACATTGTTGTAAACATTACAAATGAAAAAAGGGTACTGTTTCTGTTGGTGGATTTCCATTTGAAACCGCTCATTCAAGCAAAATTCGGGGAGATTGTACTAACAACTGAGCAATCTGTTCTTGGAGCGCTTGCTTTGATGCCTTCAAGTCTGAGCTTCTGTGTGTTTTACTTTTCTCTACAAGTCTCAGCACTGAGTAGCAAAAAAAAGATATTTGGTAAATTAAACAAGGACAAGCATTACAGTGAACAATAAACAGTCATCATGTAGTTTATATACGTCGGCACAAAGGGCAAGCATTTGCCAGAATGCGATGAAATGCCACCCAGCCTCATCCCCCCATCACTTAGCTGAACCACGCTACACCTTCTCTCTTTTTCTTCTCTAGTTTTGTCTGACATCCTGCAGCAGTTTGTTGATTTCATGCACCAGCTCACTAGAGTCCATACTGGCCTCGTGGCGGCTCTCGCTGCGCTTGCCGCCCTGGTGACCCTGTTGGAAGATGCCATCAAAGTCATCTTCCTCGTAATTCTCAGGGATTTCCTCCATGGCTGGCAGCCATTTGAGATGTGGCAGCTGTCCATTGGTGGAGGTGGAAGTGGAGGTGGAGGATGAGGGAGAAGAAGAGGAAGAAATATGGTTGGCTCCCACAGATCCACTTCCAGGATTTAGATAGTGGGTACTGGCCGCCCATGCAGCCACACCTGGGGGGTAAATGGGACCTTTCCCCCCTGGCAACAACCCTCTTCGGTTGTCCTGAGGAACAGCGGTGTTACTATGGTTACTAGCTATGTTGCCACCACGTCCACTTCCTCTCTCAGTGGTTGATGAGGATGGGGGTGGGCTTGTTTCAGTGCACTCTGCGTATGAGTCTGTATTAGGGGGAAGGAGCCGCTGGAACACAGAGTTCATCTCTGTGAGGAGGGAGCCAGCCCCTCCTCCAGCTGTACACGCATCACTTCCTCCTCCTCCGATGACTTCCCCTGCCCCGGCCTCTTCGTTCCCAGACTCCTTGCCAAAAGTGGAGAAGCTCTTGCGGCGCTCCGAGTCAACCGAGGATTGGTCATCATCAGGCTGGGGCTGCTGGGTGGACTCCTCCCCAGGGATGTACATGTTGTTGCGGTAGTCAGAGGAGGAAGCAGGCGAAGACACGGGGGGCATCCAGCACTGGTCAGAGTGTCCCAGGACCCGACATTCATCCGTGCACAGTCTCATAGCTGAACAATAAAGAACGCAGGAAGAGTCATGAGCAGGTCCAGCAACAAAAAACTGTTTATGGCATATATTGAACCAGGGAATGTCTATACAACAAAACAACTCAAATCAGATGCTCAAGCCTCCTTAGAGAGAGGTGTGGGCTTTTAAAACATGTTTATTGGTTTGGTACAAAAAATGTCAATATAGATGAATAATGTGTCATTAACTCTGAGACGGTGGTTAGGTAATGTTATCTGAAGTGATACAGCTCAGCTGGAGGCAGTCGCATTTATCTTTTGTTTATTTCATGGAAACAAGGGCAAGAATTGCTGTTATGTCTGACAAACCACACACTATGCTCTTAGCATGCTCCGTCTACAATTCCTATTTAATATTTCATATGACAGTGCTTCACTGTTTCATTAACATCAAAATCACAGCTCAGCCTTTTAGTGGTTAGCGTTCCCCTGTTTCTCCCCCTGAACTCTTCATATTCCTGCATGAAGGACCAGACTGGTGATATTTACAGTTTACAGCATGAATACCTGGGTAGTGCAAGGTATGAAAACCATAACATGGATGAGATAAATAAATAAATAACTGCCTGATTGCACCCAAATGGCATCAGAGGCAAATGTTAATGCAATATTTGGTTGCTCTGCCAAGCATGTCCACATCTCCCGACTACACGGCTGAGACAAAGATTTGCTTGTTTAGTTCTTTTATCGTATCTAGCATGAATAGCCACATTTGCCCATCTAAATAGAAAAATCTAAACAAATTAAAGCTATTGAAGAGAAGCAGGGATAATCCTCCCTCTCAGCCATTTATCTCTTTTCCCCTCCCCTTTTTTTTTATATTAGCATAGAAGATAGAGGAAGGGAGGCTGCAGCACCTTGAGGTCCTACAGAAAGAGAGAAAAAAGAGATACAGAAGGACAGTCCACATCCACCACCCATCCCTTTATCTATTTCAATAAAGACAGAAAACACATTATCGCATACTGAAGGGCGCCAGAGAGAGATGCAGAGGAGCATCTCTCTCTGACGCTGTCCATGGTGCTAAGAGGAGACAGAGTCCGCAAGAGAGAGAGAGAGAGAGAGAGAGAGAGAGAGAGAGAGAGAGAGAGAATAACATTGTTCTAAAAGCAATTACTATGAATTCTCCTCAGTTCAGACATGAAAGCGCACCACTGTCACTCACGGTAAGGGGGAAAAAAAACAGAAAGAAAAGAAGAAGAAGGGAGGGAGGAAAAAAACAGCACCCTGAGACGCATACCGATGAGTGACAGGCGACTCATCTCCGCTCCAGGGAGGATTTTACAGACACGGCTCTATCTTAGGGGCAGATAACACACACACACACACACACACACACAAGTACACCAGCACACAGGCAGACACATTGTAACCTCTCTCAGTGTGATAATGAGCGTGGAAATGAGGGTTGCGTAGAAGAATGCAGTTGAGTACAATGTGGATTGTGCTGGCAGCAGGGTGAACGGAGCGGCTGTATGGGCAGGTGTACAGACAAAAACAGGGCTAGGCCTGACACTGTCCATGGTGCTAAAATTCGTCAGGCAGGAGGTACTTTAGAGCGCAGGGTATGGCTCTGGGGAGGAAGACAGCTTGGGTCAGTTTGAGTTCATTTTAATTTTGGTCTGGTAATCTGTAAAAATCTTTTTTAATCAAATCAAAAGTGAGAGTCTTGTATTTTTCATTCATTTCAACCAACACAAAGTGGATCAAACCTTGATAAGTTTCATAGGGAGATATCACCACAACTTTTTGTGAGATAAGACTTAGTTGAGGTGTGATTGTGCCTGGAATGTGAGGTGATAGTTGAGTGTGATGTACCGCTGCAGAGGGTGTTAGGTACATGACTCAGCTGAATGGAGCCAATTTGGCAAGTCCTGTTGAGGAAGGTGCAAAAAAAAAAAAAGATGTGTTCTTGTGTGCAGCCAGAAAGAGACTGTCTGAATAGGTGGGCTTCGTATCTAAATGCTCACCTGGGTGGAATCGGTGGTGCATTTCAAGGTGTATGAGGTCAGAAAAACCCTCCCCCAGCAGCAGTCTGTCCACGGGGGATTCCCTCCCCATGTCACAGTCACTGTCCCCCGCCTCGCTGTCCCCACGGCCACTGTCCTTCAGGCTGAACTTGTCCATGTCTTGTAATGCATACCTGTGGGACATAATTTAAAAAAGATTACAAACACATCTGAAAAACAAAGATGCAGCTGCCTGATGTTCTGCAGGCTGATAGCATCAATCTGTCATCATAGAGAAGACTAATGACAAATAAATCCATCACATAAAATTTGCTGCTGCTTCTGGAATCTGTCAAATCCTCTAGACGAGGCTCAACCCATAAATCCTGCATGCAGGAAGATCCTGTCAGTAAATCTATCATGGCAGCCACTAGGGGCATCAATACATCTATCATCTGGAGATCATAATGAGAATATTATGATGGAAGTAGTGATGGATGCACGCTTTAAAACCTGAAGCCAATTTTTTTAAGAAAAGAAGTACCAAGAAAATTGCTGTGACATTCAGACAAATGAGTTGCATATTTCTGAACTGAATGACATCGGTGTGATAACAACTGGAATATGAAAAAAATACATTTACACACCATCAAACCATGATCTACATGTAACTGATCAACTGAGAGGCAATACTTAACAACAGGTTGTTGGAACATGTAGTACACAATGAAACACAAGT